TTCATATTTGCCTGAGAAAGATAAAACTCAGGTAAAATGCCTGTTTTGGTAATGTTTAAAAGTTTTGATTAACACCCCCCTCCCTCCAAAAACAATAGATTGCCTACTGTGTTATATGTGTTTTACAAAATATAACCAAGGAGTACACTTTGCTGAGTAAMTGAATGAATTTGGACTTTCTAACCTTTACAGGTGTAGTATTTATTATCACAGTTATCAGTTTCAAGCTTCTTTACATTAAACGTTGTGTCGTTTTATAGCAGTGCTTGTTACCAGAAATGCTGCTCGCTCCCTCCCTCTTTCCTCTCTGGCTCCGGCCTCTGTCAGCAGTCTGCTGAACATGCTCATCAGGAAACTGTGGATGGACACATTTACTCCCAGACAGATTCCAAAAGAGCTGCGGTCATTAAGCACTACCCCCCACCCTCACCCCACATGGGTTCCGCCCCGSACATCGTCAGTCCACTGGTAAACAATGACAACGAGACAACGACAAGCCTTTCAGATTGGCTCCCTGTTGTCTCAAAGCTTGGTAGGAGTCCTCGCTCACTTTGTCTTTCTTGGTCTCTAATTGCAAACCACTGTCTCCGAACMCTTAATGAGAAATGACACGTAGAAGCTTTGTGTATTTGTTGCAGCGTGTGTGCTTGTGTTTTGTGCATACTTTCTACCTTTTAGCAGAAGACCCAAGTGAAGTCTTTTTTTTAATCCAAAAAAAAAAAAAAAACCAGCAAAAGCTTGCCAAAAATGTGCAGCGCCAASTTCAAAAGGGGTCACACATTCTTGTTCATTTTTCTTCATTTAAATCAACTGGACTCCCTGTAAGCAAGTTATGTAACCACCATTGCTGTGTCTTTGTGATGGAACCCTGTTCCCTGCAGGAGGAGATGGGGGGCATGATGGGAGCTTTGGTGGGGGGAGTACAAAGCCTTGTGTTCATTTGCGACACTTCAAAGCCCCCTCTGTATCTCCAGCGTTTAAGCCCCTGGGAATGACACATTTGTGACAGTGTTACATCACACGACATGCCCTGAAGGCTCCCGCTGCTCTGCCGTGAAAGACAGCTCATTCATTGAAAGTTTAACTATCGCTGTTCAACAGAAGCTCACCGGTCATTAATAACAAGAAKGTTCCTACAGAAGTCACTCTTGTGACGATGCAGCTGAAGGAACCCACCTGTGGTGCTGGATATACTTCAGAGAGTGGTCAGTGTCACTCATTTCCTGTACAGACAATGTGGTCACTGTTGACAAATTGTAATCCCATGATGCCAGTCACATGCTGGGCTTCACAAGGACTTCAAAAGAGGCAGAGAATAATGCAGATTATGTTAACTGAAGATGATAAAGACCCTGTAAACACCTTTTACCTGGACTTCAAGTCTTTTCTGCTGGAGGAGAAAAGAAAAACTGATGAAACTAAACCCTGGAAGAGGCTGGCTGCTAAAATCATGGTGGCTTCCATGAATAACTTGCCTCTTCATTTTTGTCTCTTTACTGGCAGGTAAATGTAAAATGCACATATAAAATAAATATATCAATTACAAATGCAAAGGTAAAACAGCAAAATGAGTAAACATGAATAAACATCTCATAAAATAAACAAACCTAAATATTTGTAATAAATACAATGTCAGCAAAATACAACTACGACTTTTGTTGTCTTGACAAACAAAACTAGACCTGAGTTTTGGCCTGTAAATCTTCTGGAATTAGTCAATTTGTTATCTTAGTTTTTAAAACAGACGGCCTCTGATTCTGCATCTGTCTGATTAAAGTTAAACTCCTTAAATAAACATGATGCCTGAGTAAATATAGGAGCATATTTACATTGTTCCAGCCATGAYGGCGTGATGATCTGTCTATAGGACAAATAACTTGCAGCACAAATGATGCAGAAAAATACCCACTTTTTTCCACATTTTCAATCTAATGAACATTTTGAGCACATTTTTTATATCAGAAAATGTCAAAGTGAAATCATTTATGTGCATTGCCTGATTTGCTTTTGCAATTTATGAGATGCTTTTCTGACGTTGCATACCTTTTAGGAATATTATGATCCTCGTCTGAGGAAGTTCTGCGATGGATKTAATGAAGCTGTTTTAGCTTTGAGCTAAACCAGCAGTAACTTTTCACTTATCTCTGTTTTTAAGAACCTTCTTTCTGTTTTTTTAGTTGAGTCTACTGTATTCCCCTATTTTTAGTCATCACTGCATACCCATTACAGGAATCGGTGTGTTTCTGCAAGGTCACATTCCTTGCCTCCCATGTCCGTCTACTCCAGACTCAACACCCCCCGGCCCTAAGCAGCGCCTCCTCCTGTCCCACCCCCACAACACATTCTCCCTGGCTTCCTGTGTGAGGAAACTGGAGGTCATACAGTTTAGTTTTCACACCTGTAACTCCAAATTGAATACATATACATGTTTTCCCAGAGAGGAAGTGATTCTGCCTTCTCATATTTAATACCACGCAAAAATGATAAATTTGAAGGTTTGGAATTCAAACAAACATTTGTTGTGGTGTGCTCTCAGCTCCAGATTTCTGTAATGACAATTRGTGGTATTGTTCCAAAAATACATTTTCTAAGTTTGTTAACGTGTCCCAGTTCAGAGAGCTTCATCTTTTATCCCCTCAGCTGTGGTCCCCAGAACAGGAAACCATGGTRTAGGGGGGGAATTTACAACAGGAACTCAGCTTGCTGAACGCTGTGAGTTACAACAACAGAAGTCTCCCCAGTCCTGTCTGAGGAGGCATTGTGGTATTATTCTTAGTTTAGCAGTTCAACAGATTGGTATGGGACTCACACATCAATGTTATGCTTAAAAAAAATTCTTACAGAACTTCACTTTTTTTTTCTCGCCATACTTTTAGTATTCTTCACTTCCTGCCATGGCCCTGAACAGTTAAAGCAAATGTAGGCTTTCAAACATAAGATATATGATCTCTAGAGATGTTTGTTATTGTAATACTGTATATCACAATACAGTCTAAATAAGCCATCAATGTGTTGGACATGGAGGATCTCATCAAGTTTGTCATTTATTATTTTTGCTCTGTTTTGCTACAAAGTAAAAAAAAATGATTGAGTTAGAAAGTATTTAGGTGATTTTTTTTATTTGCTACAGTGATTGTTGTAACTGGAGGTTATGTCCTTTTGAACCCCAACTTTTGCTTGAAGGATTCTAATATCCCACAGATGATGATGTGAGGATCCCCTGCTGTCCCCAGACTAATGAATCAGTCCTGACTCAGCCGGCTCTGACACTCCCCAGCTGGTTCATTCCTCTCGGTTTGGTTGTCAAGGGGAAACTCTTCAGGTGCCAATTGTAGGAACAACCTATACGCAAGGTTTTTATGGTGTTCACTTATTTAGTGTTGTGATGAAAATTTAGAGCACTAGCAAGTAGGTTGTGGAGAATGAAGCAGAGTCATCAACCAGTGTAAAAGCAGGGGCCTATGAAAAGGAAGGAGCAGACTTAAATGACTCACTGTCTTCTAAACTCAACAATGAATAATGTCGCTCAAAAGAAAGCTATATGTGGTCCAGATTAYATTATCAATCCACTTCCGCTTTCAGACATTTTGAAAATCTTCCCCTCTGAGCCCTGGATTTTTCTTTATCTTTTACATTTTACATGTAAAGTTTTTATGGGGGGTGTTTGGAAACAGGCAGGGTTATCATGTAGTGAGAGTAGAACTGCAGGACAGACAGAGTGCTTGTCTGAAAGCGGAGCATGGCTACAAACACATCATCACATCAAAAGGACTTTCATACAATCACTGTCATAACCAGGCACACCCAGACATACATATTTCAACTATACTGACACGTTTCTTTGTCCACACTGGTGAAAAAAACTCTGCAGTTCATTGTTCCTCCTGACATTTTGATCATAGACCCTTACATACTGTTTACATGCACTGTTTGAAGTCCACTCRGAACCACCACCCTCACTTTCCTGTCTCCATTAGTGGGTCAGTATGTCAGAAGGTAGCCTTCAGATGAGCATACATACTTCTGGCATGCTGTGCATTTGTTTTAAAGGGGCAATATCATGTAAAATCAACTTTTTTGAGTTTTATATCATGTTATAATGTTAAACTCTCATAAAAACATGCCCAAAGCCTTGCTTTGACTCATTCATGCATGTTTGAGAAATCCTGCAGCATTTTTAGGAAGCCATGCTGAGGAGCAAAACGACAGGTGGGAACCAGAAACACCTTTTGGTACCAGAAATGCCCCTGGGATGTGTCTTTAAGCCGAACTTCCTCATGGCAGAGCACACCCCATCCCTCCTCCCCACACACCCCGCCCATGACTCCTGCAGGATCTCGGGT